TCTTGATGTAGAGGTGGACTCACAGGATAGTGTGGGATATCCCCTCCATTTTGGCCTCAACTTGAGAGCTTTTTTTGAGCTTGACAGTTGATTTCAGAGAAAACCAGTAGCACCATCGTGTTTCTCGCGAATTTCAACGTAAGAATCAACAATCAAATCGCAAATTCCTCACGCATGCAATATCTCCATTTTGTTATATTGAGCACAAAGGGTTCAGGGTTTCACTAAAGACAACTCCGCAACCTTTTCAATGTTTGTATGCATCCCTGTCTAACACACACTCAGCATCCTGAATATTGTGGACTAGTCTTTATGTATATAGGTCTCTATTGTGTAGTGACGTGCTGTTGATACCTGTATTTGCTTGATCAAAGCTTGCTCCTTCATTTTCAGTCGTTCCCTCTGAGCTCGCTTGTGCTCCCGTTGAAGGCGTTCTGCTTCTAATTTTCTTTGCTTCAGTTGCTCGTGCAATGCTGATACTCTGACTTCTGTTTCACTTTGCTCAGAAAGCGTTTCTGTGAAATATAACATAATAAAATGAAAAATTGATACAAAAGATAAACATAAAAATTAAGTTGATGATACAGATGTTTTCGAGACAGTTTCAGATACATGTCATTATGACGTTTTTAAAGGGGGGATAAGAGTAGAAGATGGTTTCTGGAAATATGTTATTGCGAAATATGATACAACCAGAAATGGCTGGTCAGGACTTGAAAATTTGTTAGGCTTGGATTGCTGACGGCAGTCCATGTAACCGTTTAATGAGAATGTTTAAAAGATACTCGACTTGGAACTCACTGTCTCCCACAAAAAGGAACGTATCTTGATTGCCTTGTTTCAGTATTTCTCATTTATTGTTCATTTGTTAAGAGGAGAACCTCCGAGAACCACCACACGAATTTTCCTGAAATCCCTGGTAATTTTTCTTCACCTCTGTGTGAAAGGACTCTAAAATTTTCAGACTAATTCAGGTGACAGTTCGCCCATGAAGAAATAAATTGTTTGTGGAAATATTAAAACAGTGCAGGCAAGATACATTCCTTCAAGAGAGAGACAACAAATCAGAGGCGGATCCAGCAATTTGGCAACACAGGATTTCCTCCATTTAAACCCATGCTAAAAGATCGATTCTTGTCGGAGCACCTGGCCTCTCCAAGAATAGATACATTTCCATAGGTTTAAATGGAGGAAATACAATGTTGCCAATTTGCTGGATCCGCCAATGCAACAAATAGAAGAAGTTTAAATTTTAATTCTTTCCATATTTGATTTGAATCACAGGATCATTTCTGTATAACTGTTACAAGAGAGTCAAAACTTAATTTTTAGAATGTAAGCTGAAAAAAGAATTAATTTGCATAGTTCAAGAACTTCTCTTGTCCATTCTTTCAGTCTTAAATTTTGTGTGTGCTAATATGTAATACTTTCCAAGAGTCACCGCAGTCATAAAAGTAGTGTACTCGTTTTCGGATTACAAAAACCTTAAAATGAGTCTTCACACCACTTTCATTTCTGTATACAACCTTGAAAAGTATTATCACCCCAAAAAATTAAAGACTAGAAAAATGGACAGTAGCGATATTTGCACAACATAATTCAATTTAAAACTGTATCATAAGAATTGACAGCTTCGCCCAAAAGATAAGACTGTATTTATGAATCGCAACCCAGCTCACCGTTTTGAGAAAATATCATCGAATCATCAGATCCGCTTGAGTAACGCAGTCTCCTACTGTTCTGTAACCGCGGAGAAAGTGGTGTTTTAATATGAATGGATGTCTGCTTAGTGTGAGCAGAAATGTTTTTCATTGCATTGGTTGCGTCTGTATTGCACAAAGATTGATGCCCTCTAGGTGTTTCTGAAGACTCAGGAGATTCCACACTTTCACTTCCATAATGGTCGGACGAGCGAACACCACTTGTCTCTAGATTCCCTTTTGACCTGAATCAGAAAGGAAGAGTTTTAATGGCATGAAACATTCTTGAATGGTTACATAGAATATAAAACTGAGCAGGATGGTTGCATGAGGTTTAAATTGGCTTGCAATATAGATGTTTCTCATGTAAAATTCATCAAGAAAGATGAATCTAAGCTCAGAAAAGTTCCTAAAACGAGAAAATAAAGGTAAAATTGGGATGGTAAGATGGAGTGTTTCTCATTAGCTCACTACTTATGATGTCACATAAAGCGCCAACCTATGGTTTAATCGTCATGGATAAAATGTGAACAAATCAGCTAAACAGCTGCTGTACTTTAGTATTCATTAGAATACTGCATGAGGTAAATCATATTCATAATCCTACTGTGAAATATATCGATGTTCAAAAGCCAATGAGAACAAAAAAAGGAAGGAAAAAGACTGATACTGTTAAAGCACAAAATCACTACTAAAGCATAGAAGGACAACATGATGTCTAAAAATGCGGATTGGTTTCAAAAGTATGAAGCTGCAAAGAGACGACTGAGTGGTTAACTAGCTGGTGGTGGGAAATAAAAGTGGTCTGTTAAATTTTTCTTTTTTTTAAAATACATAATTTTTAGGGAAAAAAGCTTTCCTCAGACTTTAATTCTTGAATGAACGCGCTTTTCATCATTTTCTTGACAGTATCAGTCATACAAATTGGACTTCAGTTGGACTATCAAAGAATCAAATTTGTATTTAGAGAAAATGGTCTGATAATTTTTTTTAACTATAATTTTTAGGAAAAAAGCTATTCACAGACATAATTATTTTTGAAAATATAGTTTTCACCATTTTCTAGAGAAGACAATCACAATGATTTGTTTTGCCACTCGCACACTCATTGCCCGTGCAGTCAGAGTGTTCATCAAGAAAAATAAGCAGCGCAGACAGTTGAAAAGACTGAAAGAGCACTGCATGGTGCAAAACAATAGCGTAAAAAGGTTTCGGATGATTTTGAGAGGAGCAATACATACTTTAAGATCAAACAACAGAGCATCCGATGAAATAATGCATTTACACTTAATAAGACAGGAAAAGAGAGATAAACTTTAAAATCTGTACCCGAGGAGTATGTTGTGGAGGTCTCCACACTGGTTGCTTTGTGCGTCATCCTGACTTTTTTTTGACTGACAGACGTCCGTGTCTATGATTGTTGGTGGATTAATGCCATTGGTTGGTTCTGGGGTCATTCGAAACGGTGATGT